ACGTACGACAACAACGTTACCTTTACCTTTAAACTTAAAACTTAGGTTTAAGTTTACTTTCCGTAACTAACTAACTTTAACGTATACACTAGTAATTACTAACAGTCGCTCTATAACAAATGCTATAACTCACGTCTCACGTGGCCAACAATATTCTGTCCGCATACATTCAATTACTCATAACAATTACACATTCTCTGACTGCAGTTCAATTACTCCTTATATCATCACTTTGTGACCGTCTTATATATACCAGACTACCCCCAATCTAGTAGTCACCCGACAATTCACGAAGGAACAGGATATTTCCAGAAGGAAGTGGCGTGATACTAGTCACGTGACCTCGCTGACGCAACAATGTGAAGTTTGGCTCGGCATGGCCAGGTAGTTAGGGCGCTCGACTTGCAATCTGAGGGTCTCGGGTTTGAATCCCCGTCACACCAAACATGCTCACCCTTTCAGCCGTGGGGGCGTTATAATGTGACGGTCAATCCCACTATTCGTTGGTAAAAGAGAAGCCCAAAAGTTGACGGTGGGTGGTGATGACTAGCTGCCTTCCCTCTAGTCTTACACTGCTAAATTAGGGACGGCTAGCACAGATAGCCCTCGTGTAGCTTTGCGCGAAATTCAAAACAAACAAACATTAGAAGTTATCAAACGACAGGGGTGCGAATAATTTATTTTCAATTAGTCTTGAAAGACTTCAATGTACATGCATTACAAGCTAGCGACGACAACTTATCAATCATAGACAGCAGCATGATTTTCTACTTATTTTGCAAATAGAAACAGCTTGTAGTATGTGAACCAGTACACATTACAACAATTACTAAATACCAGACGCAATGGTTAGCTAGAAATACGTATGATAGTTTCTGATACGGTACATTACCTACTCTGACATCTATAGGTATTCTCATTCAGTGCTGCTCTCTATGTGCAAAAAGTTTTTTGCGTGTCACAAGCCTTGAACGCCCACGTACCCAACGATCACATTGGTTCAACTGCGTCTCGTATGTAAATCAATATGCGACAACACTCCACAAATAGGAGTGCGACACACTCTCTTGACACATGTGGCTCCCTCTATTCGATTCTACGGAACTATCACTTCTTGATAGGCAGTGATCGAGTGCGGCCGTCTTTCAATTCTGCACTTTCCAGGTGTTAATGTTCTTTGTAAAGTAGTAATTTAGTTGATTTATTCATTTGCTACAGTTAGTTTCTTCTGTAATAGTTTGCTGCGACAACTTACC